CAGGGTTTCACCTTGTTGACCACGATGGTCTGGATCTCCTGACCTCGTGATCCACCCACCTCAGTCTCCCAAAGTGCTGGGATTATAGGCTTGAGCCACTGTGCCCGGCCTAGGATGGCTATTATTTCTTAAAAGTGGAAAATATCAAGTGTTAGCAGGGACATGGAGAAATTGAAGCCTTTGTTCATTGTTGGTGAGAATGTAAAATGGTGCAGCCACTGTACAAAACAGTTTAGTGGTTCCTCAAAAAGCTAAGCATGGAACTATCGAATGATCTAACAATTTCACTTATAGGTATTGTCTTTCTTTTTTTTTTTTTTTAGTATTTTCTTAAAAGAATTGCAAACAGGGACTCAAACAGGTATTTTTGCACCAATTTTCATAGCAGCGTTCTTCACAATAGTTAAAAGTCACAAACAACCCAATGTCCATAGGCAGATGAATGGATAAACAAAATGTGATATATCCATATAATGGAATATTATTTAGCCTTTAAAAGGAATGAAATTATAATACATGCTACAGTATGGATGAACCTTGAGAACATTATGCTAAGCAAATGAAGCCAGACATAAAAGAGCTAATACAGTCATTACTCGATATCTGTAGGGGATTGGTTCCAGGGCCCCAGGCAGGTACCAAAATTCACAGATGCACAAGTCCCTTATATAAAATGGCATAGTATTTGCATATAACCTGCACACCTCCTCCTATTTACATTAAATAATTTATAGATTATTTATAATACCTAATACAATGTAAATACTATGTACATAGATATTATACTGTATTTTTTAGGGAATAATGACAAAAAAAGTTTGTACATATTCAATGCAGATGCAACCATCCATTTTTTTTTCAAATATTTTCAAACCACAATTGGTTGAAACTATGGATACAGAATCCAGGGATACAGAGCACCACTGTACTGCATGAGTCCATTTATATGAGGTACCTAGAATAGACAAATTCATGGAAACAGAAAGTAGAAGTTAGCAGGGGCTCTGGAGGGGAGGGTAGAAAGGAGACTAACTGTAAATCTATGCAGGAGAGATTTGAATATGTAGACATAGGCAGTATTGAGAATCAAAAGGAACTGGGCTTAAATAAATTATTGGCTCTTTCGTTTATTAGGTGTGTGACATGGGTCTAATTTTTTTTTTAGGTGTAGTGCAGTATTTTCTTTTTTTGTATTGCATTTTAGGTTTTGGGGTACATGTGCAGAACATGCAAGATGGTTGCATGGGTACACACATGGCAGTGTGTTTTGCTGCCTTCCTCCCCTTCACCCACATTTGGCATTTCTCCCAAGGCTATCCCTCCCCAGCTCCCCCCCCCCGCTGTCCCTCCCCTATTCCCCCCAGTAGACCCCAGTGTGTAGTACCCCCTTCCCTGTGTCCATGTGTTCTCATTTTTCCTCACCCGCCTATGAGTGAGAATATGCGGTTTTTCATTTTCTATTCCTGTGTCAGTTTGCTGAGAATGATGTTCTCCAGATTCATCCATGTCCCTACAAAGGACACGAACTCATCGTTTTTGATTGCTGCATAATATTCCATGGTGTATATGTGCCACATTTTCCCAGTCCAGTCTATCGTCGATGGGCATTTGGGTTGGTTCCAGGTCTTTGCTATGGTAAACAGTGCTGCAATGAACATTCGTGTGCATGTGTCCTTATAGTAGAACCATTTATAGTCCTTTGGATATATACCCAGTAATGGGATGGCTGGGTCAATTGGAATTTCTATTTCTAAGGCCTTGAGGAATTGCCACACCGTCTTCCACAATGGTTGAACTAATTTACACTCCCACCAACAGTGTAAAAGTGTTCTTATTTCTCCACATCCTCTCCAGCATCTGTTGTCTCCAGATTTTTTAATGATCGCCATTCTAACTGGCGTGAGATGGTATCTCAATGTGGTTTTGATTTGCATCTCTCTAATGACCAGTGATGATGAGCATTTTTTCATATGTTTGTTGGTCTCATGTAGGTCTTCTTTTGTAAAGTGGCTGTTCATATCCTTTGCCCATTTTTGAATGGGCTTGTTTGTTTTTTTCCTGTAAATCTGTTTGAGTTCTTTGTAAATTCTGGATATCAGCCCTTTGTCAGATGGGTAAACTGCAAAAATTTTTTCCCATTCTGTTGGTTGCCGATTCACTCCAGTGACTGTTTCTTTTGCCGTGCAGAAGCTGTGGGGTTTGATTAGGTCCCATTTGTCTATTTTGGCTTTTGTTGCCAATGCTTTTGGTGTTTTGGTCATGAAGTCCTGGCCTACTCCTATGTCCTGAATGGTTTTGCCTAGATTTTCTTCTAGGGTTTTTATGGTGCCAGGTCTTACGTTTAAGTCTTTAATCCATCTGGAGTTAATTTTAGTGTAAGGTGTCAGGAAGGGGTCCAGTTTCTGCTTTCTGCACATGGCTAGCCAGTTTTCCCAACACCATTTATTAAACAGGGAATCCTTTCCCCATTGCTTGTTTTTGTCAGGTTTATCAAAGATTGTATGGTTGTAGATATGTTGTGTTGCCTCTGATGCCTCTGTTCTGTTCCATTGGTCTATATCTCTGTTTTGGTACCAGTACCATGCTGTTTTGATTACTGTAGCCTTGTAGTATAGTTTGAAGTCCGGTAGTGTGATGCCCCCTGCTGTGTTCTTTTTGCTTAGAATTGACTTGGCTATGCGGGCTCTCTTTTGGTTCCATATGAAGTTCATGGTGGTTGTGCACTTCCCTAATGACTAGTGATTTTGAGCACTTTTTCATATATCTGTTGGTCATTTGTATCTCTTCTTTTGAGACATATTGAGATCTTTGCCCATTTAAAACTTATTTCTCTCTCTCTCTGTGTGTGTTTGTGTGTGTGTGTGTTTTCTGTTGAGTTGTTTGAGTTCCTTATATAGTCTGGTTATTAATTCTTTGTTGAATGTATAGTCTGCAAATATTTTCTCTTGATATGATCCCATTTGTCTATCGTTGATTTTGTCACCCGTGCTTTTGAGGTCTTACCAAAAAAAAAAAAAAAATCTTTGCCCAGTCCAATGTCCTGTAGTTTCCTCAATATTTTCTTTTCGTAGTTTTATAGTGCCAGGTTTTACATTTAAGTCTCCGATCCATTTTGAGTTGATTTTCATATATGATGAAAGATAGGGTTAATTAACCTTTTAAAATCTCAGTTTGCTAATCTGAAAACAAAAACCAAAAAACAGAATCATAATCATAACAAACTCGGAGGGCAATTGTGAGGGTTAAATGAAATAATGCATACAAAGGATTAGCAAAGAGTCTAGCACGTAAACATTCAGTAAATGTCAGCTATTAATAACCTTAGGACAATTCCCGATACCTAATAAACTTCTATTGAAGGAACACATGCAACTGCATATTTGCTATAATGATGAAACTGAAGCATAGTTAGGGAGGGGGAAGAGGGCTTTATAGGGAAAAGCATGCAAAAGAACTTATTAAAAAGAAACTACAGCATGACAGAATAGAACCCGGAAATACACTCTCTATGTATCTGACAATATGATAGTGTGTATAAGACAGTTTTTTCTGTATTTGTACATCATGTTACTTCTTGGTCAGCTCTCCCCTACCAAGAGAAACCATAATTCTTATCATTTCCTTTCTTCCAGTTTTTATTACCCTGTTTCCTTAAGAAGAGGCTGGAAATCTGGCAATAATTAAAAAGTTACATATGTGTATGTTCTAACTAGATTGCAAATTTCTGAAGGATAATGTCTGCCTTCTTCTCATGAAACACTTAACCATATTTTAAGCATTTAATAAATGTTTCAAATCCCGTCTGGCACACTAAATTTTCAACTGACATTTGTTGGATGACTGAATTTATAAGTGAGCAGTTACTGTGCTCCCCTCCTCTATCCATAGAGATGTTCCCTGAGATATTTCTGTCAGGAGTACGATTTTTCTTTTTTTTCTTTCTTTTTTTTTTTTTTGAGAAAGAATCTTGCTCTGCCACCCAGGTTGGAGTGCAGTGGCATGATTTCGGCTCACTGAAACCTCCACCTCCTGGGTTCAAGCAATTCTCATGCCTCAACCTGCCTAGTAGCTGGGATTAGAAGCTCACACCACCACGCTCAGCTAATTTTTGTATTTTTAGTAGAGATCGGGGCGGGGTGGGGTCTCATCATGTTGGCCAGGCTTGTCTCAAACTCCTGACCTGAGGTGATCCACCTGCCTTGGCCTCCCACATTGCTGGGATCAGCTCTGTGGGTGTGAGCCACTGTGCCTGGCCAGGAGTACTGTTTTCACTTACCTAACATATATATCTGATTCTTTTTGAAAAGGCTTTGAGCAGCTTTTAGTGTTATTTACTGCCTAAAACAAAAAAATAATTAGAGAAATGGGAGATAACACAGTTATTTAAGATAAAAGTCAACATATGCCAGTAAGGCTCATAGTTTAAATTAGAGGTGGGTTGCAAATTTGGTTCTGAGCTCCCTAGCAGCCATCATAGACTTAATTATATAATTCACACTATTCTTATATTCAAAACAATCAGCTATTTCAGTTACCAAAAACAGAATCTTCATTTCAGTTTTCATAAAAGGATTATTTTTTGATATAATGAGTGCCTTCAAGAATATTGTACAGTAAATGTAAAACTGGTCTCGTTGGCTTATTTTGTAGCATAATCCTTGATGTAGCCTCATGGCATAATGCCAAAATAGAGATTAGCGGATGGATTCTAAAAGAGATCAAAACTATTTTGTCTAGGTCTGAAGTTCTGATAATCTAGTTTAATTGAATGAAAAAAAACATGTCTCAAAAGCAAATGTAGAATAGTCTTCCGAAAATATTTATTCCCTATAATTAAGTTTAGGTAAGTGTTAGGCAGTGGAGAGTTGGCTGCTATAATCTTGAACAGGCACCAGCAATGTCCCTAATAGTATTACGTGTTAAAGACGTAAAAAAACCTTTTATATTTACGAAGGTTCTGGAACCCTCCAGGTCACATGACTACACAGGAAGCCATTTTGTAACCCCGACGAGGTGGACCATGGAGCGCCCAGGGGGACAGCTTCTCATTTCTTCAGAAAATGATTCAACACCAGTAGTTTCAACATCGGAAGTAATTAGTCAACAAGAGCCCCAAATTCTTGTTGACCGTGTGTCTGAGACCAACTGCGAAAGCAGCGCCGCCATTGATGGTGACCAAGGCACCCAGATTCCTGACGACCAAGACTCTCTAAGGGATGCGGACAGCAGCATCCAAGATGCTGCTAAGGCCCCAGAAAACTCCCAGGAAGGGAAAGGTAGGCGCCTTTTTAAGCTTTTTCCCTCACCCGAGGACCTTCTTTTGGAGAAACAAACTGCTTTCAGTTCGATTAAAAATTTGAATCGCAGCCCCTTTGAGGAGCAACGGGTAGTGTAACATGTGCCCCTTTCGAGAGGATGTAAAATGTTGACTGTGTTGAGGAGAGGGAAGCAGCTGATCGTGTTAGAGGACTTTGGGCGTAGATTCTAGTTGTTCAGTGGGTTTGGGTCACCGTGCCTAGGGACAAACCATACGACCTAACGGAATCGTGGAGCAACCAAAAGCAGGGAACTCGCTTTTATTTTTTTAATTTTTTTATTTTTCCTGAGACAGAGTTTTGCTCTTGTCGCCCAGACTGGAGTGCAGTGGTGCTATCTCGGCTCACTGCAACCTCTGCCTCCCGGGTTCAGGAGATTCTCCTGCCTCAGACTCTTGAGTAGCTGGGGCTACAGGTACGCACCACCACGCACAGCTAATTTTTTGTATTTTTAGTAGAGACCGGGTTTCACCACGTTGGCCAGGATGATCTGGATCTTTTGACCTCGTGATCCGGACGCCTCGGCCTCCCAAAGTGCTGGGATTACACGCGTGAGCCAGCGCGCCCAGCCAAGGTTAACTTGTTTTGAAGCCTCGATCTTATTTTGCGAGGTCCCTGAGAGGACGCGTCCCCCTCAGCCCTCCCCTCAGCGCTCGGTGCCTTTCAAGTCTTCCGGCCCAGCACGCGGTGAGCCGGCTGCTGCCTCGAGGTCGTCCTCCAGTCTGCTGGACAGCTTGGCCGTGGAGGCGTGGCGAGGCGGGGAGGGGCCGGCGCGCGCCGCTTTTACTGTCCAGGCGCCGGCCGCCCAGCATTCACCTCTACGGTCAGCGCGGGAGACCACTCGCAGTTCGCCCGGAACCCGTCGGCCAGAGACGCGGGTCTCAGCCTTTTCGGTGCCGGCGCTACTCCACGGAGGAGCCGGTGAGTCGGGAGGCCAACCGGGCATCCGGGACTGGGTCAGCGCCCCACCGCGGTGCACTCCGCCGCCATCCCCAGCCCGCCTGCAAGGCGAGGCGCGAAGGCTGGGACCCGTGGCGACCTTTAGGGTCCAGCGGGAGGTTTTCAAGGGAAAGTGGATAAAAGCCTAGGGATCCAACTTTTCCTTTGAAAGCTTAGTGCCCCGGAGATAAGGATGGAGTGCCGGTTAGTCTCTAAACTGCAGCCGGCGACTGCGAACTTGATAAAATACCCGTTTGGGCTTCTACTTACTTGCACGGCCTGGAGCATGCTGCCAGGCGCCCTCCAGCCAATTATAATTCCAATTGTAATTCTGCTAAAGCGAGATGGAGCTAGAGGTGAATGGTGGTAAGGCTCCTGTTAATTTAATCAGGTATCAAAGACTGCTTGCTGGAAAAAAGTGGATGCTTTTTCTTAAAGTGAATACCGAACAAATAGTTTTGTAGGTAAATGCAAGTAAGAAATTTAAAAATTAAAATCTAGTTAAACCAGGATTGTCCAACTTCTCTCCCGCTGGACTTTTTTATTAGGTCTGTTTACAAAACAACTACATTGAAATAGTTTCAGTTCTTACATTCTTTCTTCCGAAAAAGAAGAATTACCAAAAAGGCTTGGGAATGAACAAAATGCCCTAGTTTTAGTTCTGCTGAGAAATCTAAAGGTTACTACTGATCTGATAAAATCTTGCTTAGCAGCTAGTTCTTCAAATAATCTGTTCCTGCTCCCAGCCTTAATTGTTACTATGTTCTGTTAGGGAATGTGCTCAGCCCCCAGATTTTTTATGTATTTTAATCAACTTTCTTCTTGTATTTACATTTCACTTTTGCATATATATATATATATATGTATCTGTATGAAGCAAGAAGAGAAGAAATTACAATCACAAATAATGCATCTTTCCTCCTTCCACCCTGGGTGTCTGCTTTTCTACTGCTGACTTTTTTTGTTTTGTTTTGTTTTGTTTTTGAGGAGGAGGAGTCTCACTGTGTTGCCCAGGCAGGAGTGCAGTGGCGTAATCTCGGCTCACTGCCACCTCCCACTCCCGGGTTCAAGCGATTCTCCTGCCTCAGCCTCCCGAGTAGCTGGGACTACAGACGGGAGCCATCATGCCCGGCTAATTTTCATATCATTAGTAGAGACGATGTTTCACCATAAGCTGGTCTCTTAACTCCTGACCTCAAGTGATCCACCCGCCTCGGCCTCCCAAAGTGCTGGGATTACAGGCATGAGCCACCGCACCTGGCCCCTCTTTGTTTTTTTTCTATGCCTTTCTGATAGTTTTAAGGGATTGAAATCATAACTGGTGAATAATTTTACCCTAATAGTGTCCCAAATCCACTTGTATGTGCTAAAAAAGGTTCCAGTGTTTTTACCTAGATTCTAATTTAAAACTGTTAACCCAGTTAATGGTTTAGAGAGTATTAGGGATTGTACATTAACTGGAATTTTTACTCTAACTTAAGGTATAAGATCTTATAGGCCGGGCGCGGTGGCTCACACCTGTAATCCCAGCACTTTTGGGAGGCTGACGTGGGCGGATCACCTGAGGTTGGGAATTCGAGACCAGCCTGACCAACATGGTGAAACCCCGTCTCTACTAAAAATACAAAAAAAAAATTAGCCAGGCGTGGTGGTGGGCACCTGTAATTCCAGCTACTCTGGCGGCTGAGGCAGGAGAATTGCTTGAACTCAGCAGGGGGAGATTGCGGGTAAGCCAAGTTCATGCACTCCAGCCTAGGCAACAAGAGCAAAACTCCGTCTAAAAAAAAAATAGGAAAAGAAAATCTTATAATTTGGTGTATGATATCTATCAGTGTCTTTAGAAAACTTTGTCAGGTTTCATATATGTACATTGCTTTCTTTCCGATTTTTTTTTTTTTTTTTGAGGCGGAGTCTCACTCTGTCGGGCGCATATTGCTTTCTTTCCAGCTTTTTCTTTTTCTTTCTTTTTTTTTTTTTTTGAGACAGAGTTTCGCTTTTGTTACCCAGGCTGGAGTGCAATGGCGCGATCTCGGCTCACCGCAACCTCCGCCTCCTGGGTTCAGGCAATTCTCCTGCCTCAGCCTCCTGAGTAGCTGGGATTACAGGCACGCGCCACCGTGCCCAGCTAATTTTTTGTAATTTTTAGTAGAGATGGGGTTTCACCATGTTGACCAGGATGGTCTCGATCTATTGACCTCGTGATCCACCCGCCTTGGCCTCCCAAAGCTTTTTCTTTTTGAGACAAAGTCTTACTCTGTCGTTGGGGTTGGAGTGCAGTGGCGCCATCTTGGCTCACTGCCGCTTCCGCGTCCCGAGTTCAGGCGATTCTCCTGCCTCAGCCTCTCAAGTAGCTGGGATTGCAGGTGCCTACCACTCCGCCCGGCTAATTTTTGTATCTTTAGTAGAGACAGGGTTTCACCATGTTAGCCAGGCTGGTCTCAAACTCATGACCCCAGGTGATCTGCCCCCCTCGGCCTCCCAAAGCGCTGAGATTACAGGAGTGAGCCACCGCGCCCCGCCATCTTTCCACCTTTGAGAACAATCTTCCTCAGTAGTGTGGGCCCGGCTGGGCGCGGTGGCTCAGGTCTGTAATCCCAACACTTTGGAAGGCCATGGCGGGTGGATCACCTGAGGTCAGGAGTTCAAGATCAGCCTGGCTAACTAGGTGAAACCCTGTCTCTACTAAATATACAAAAAAAAAAAAAAAAATTAACCAAGCATGGAGGGCAGGTGCCTGTAGTCCCAGCTACTTGAGCGGCTACTTGAGGCAGGAGAATCGCTTGACCTTGGGAGACGGAGGTTGCAGTGAGCTGAGATCATGCCATTGCACTCCAGCCTGGGCGACAAGAGTGAAACTCTGTCTCAAAAAAAAAAAAAGTGTGGGCTCTAATACCCAAAATGCAACGCTCTACAAATACGTCCCAAATACATGGAAAATAAGATTAGAAATAAAGAGTTGGTTCATTGGAAGATCATAAAATTGAAAAGGAATGACAAAAAGGAAAAATGATAAAATAAAAACTTGGGATCTAGTGATCCCACTTATGGATATATATCCTAAAAACTTGAAATCAATGTGTCAAAGAGATATCTGCATATACATGTTCACTGCAGCATTACTCACAATAGCCAAGTTATGAAGTCAACCTAGGTGTCCAGTAACAAGTGAATGGACAAATCTGTGGTATGTGTACCCAACTGAATACTGTTCAGCCTTTAAAAAGAAGGAAATTCTGTCATTTGCAACAACATGGATGAATCTGGAGGACATTATATTAAGTAAAATAAGCCAGGCAGAGAAAGACAAAAATCACATATTTTCACTTATATGTGGAATCTAAAATAATCAAAATCATAGAAGCAGAGAATAGAGTGTTGGTTATTATAGGCTGGGGTGGGGGGAAGGGCAATGACGAGATGTTGATCAAAGAATGGAAAGTTTCAGTAGGGCTGGTCCCTAAGTAGTGGGATATTATCAGAACCGACTAACATTAATGCCACTAAAGTTGGTATACAGTCTCCCGCTGCCAAATTTGACTGGCTTTTAAAATTAAAAAATGAAAGTTGCAGTTAGGGGGAATAACTGATAAGTATTTTAGGTGATGGATATGTTAATTAGGTTGATTTAGTCATTTCACACTGTATATCATAACATCATTGTGTACCCCATAATAATAATTATTATTTTGCGATAATGTCTCGCTCTTGTCCCCCACACTGGAGTGCAGTAACACGATTTCAGCTCACTGCAACCTCTGCCTCCCAGGTTCAAGCGATTCTCTTGCTTCAGCCTCCGGATTAGCTGGGATTACAGACACCTGCCCACCATGCCCAGCTAATTTTTGTGTTTTTAATAGAGACGGGGTTTCACCATGTTGACCAGGCTGGTCTTGAACTCCTGACCTCAGGCGATCTGCCTGCCTCAGCCTCCCAAAGTGCTAGGATTACAGGCGTGAGCCGCCGCACCCAGCCTTATATATTATTATAATTTGTGAAAAAAGATTAACTTGGAAGAAAGTATTCACTTCACCAAAGGGGTGTGTGTGTGTGTGTGTGTGTGTGTGTGTGTGTATATATATATATATATATATATATATAGTATAAAGGGATCCATCTTAGAGTTCTTTTAAATAGCTTTTGGGAGCATTCAAAGTAAGTAGTGGTTGTGAGGATTATATGAAATGATAGACCTAATGCCCTCAATGTAGCACTGGGCATATAGAATGCACACCATAAAGGGTAGTAATGAATAAACCAAATCAGATTTTATGTTCTATTCATATTACCCTTTCAGGAATACATCTATCTCATGAAGTTAGATATACTCACATAGAGTCTAACGATAAGAACTGGACTTCAGCTGGGTGGGGTGGCTAATGCCTGTAATCCCAGGCATTACTTTGGGAGGCTGAGGTGGGCAGATCACCTGAGGTCGGGAGTTTGAGACCAGCCTGACCAACATGGAGAAACCCCATCTCTACTAAAAATACAAAATTAGCCAGGAGTGGTGGTGCATGCCCATAATCCCAGCTACTCGGGAGGTTGAGGCAGGAGAATCGCTTGAACCCAGAAGGCAGAGGTTGCCTTGAGCTGAGATCGTGCCATTGCACTCCAGCCTGAGCAACTAGAGTGAAACTCCATCTTAAAAAAAAAAAAAAGAAAAAGAAAAAAGGAACTGGACCCCGTGCCAGGTGCAGTGGCTCACACCTGTAATCCCAGCACTTTGGGAGGCTGAGGTGGGTGGATCACTTGAGGTCAGGAGTTCAAGAGCAGCCTGGCCAACATGGTGAAACCCCATCTCTGCTCAAAAATATAAAAATTAGCCAGACGTGGTGGCACACACCTGTAGTCCCAGCTACTTGGGAGGCTGAGGCAGGAGAATGGCTTGAACCCGGGAGGCAGAGGTTGTAGTGAGCCAAGATCACACCACTGCACTCCAGCTTGGGCGACAGAGCGAGATCAACATCTCGTCATTGCCCCTCCCACCACCCCAGCCTGTAATAACCAACACTCTATTCTCTGCGTCTATGATTTTGATTATTTTAGATTCCATATATAAGTGAGAGCGAGACTCTGTCTCAAAACAAAACAAAAAGCAAAAAAAACCTTGGACTCCTGAGTTTTCCCCAGAGTAGTCAGAGCTGTTGTTGCTGGGTCTAGAGTCTTAAAATTAACTGCCTGCTCTCCCACGAACTGGTTAATTTCTACTAATCCATTAAGGTAGGTGAAATACTGAAAATCAAGCCCTAGTTTACTTCAAATCATCACAGAACATTTCTGCAAGTGGTTTCTGGGTCCATTTCAGCTTTTGGTTTGCATCCTTATCTGCAGAGGTTATATAGTTTGCTTAGGTACCCACCACCGTGTTGTTGAATTGTAGTCCTTTACCTGAGAGTCTAAGAATATCATTAAGAAGATGAAATCATGTTTCATAATAGCTCTTATTTGTTCATCAAATTACATCATGTAATTTGGATTGACTTTGGAAAATCTACACATATTGGAGAGGACATAAGGTGATGTTTAGAAATAATTATGTCAAATAAGGTATTGTCTAACTGTACATACATCATTCTAGTGAGGATTATGGGCAAGATCTTGTATAATTTAGCCCGTACTACCAGAAGTGGTCAGGAGAGGGAGCAAAAGGAGTTTTTAGTTACTTGGTTTTCTTTTTGCTTTCATGAACTCCAAATTAAGACATGAGTAAAAGCCAGGATGAAGTTCCTGATGAAGTTGAGAACCAGTTTATATTGCGTCTGCCTCTGGTAAGAACTTTTATCTTGGAACAAATATCTCCAGTGCATAATTATAGTTCTACTTGGATTCTGTAATATTTCTATTTCAGGTAGGCTATAAAAACAAAGAACATTTGTTTCCCAGGAATCATGTTCTGTTAAGCGGTCCTATCTTAGCATGTACTTTTTTAGCAGCATTTTTTTCCTCCTGTACATACCACCTATCATGCAGGTTGATTTCCTGGCAAAACAGCTGTGGCAATGATGAACCCAGCCACTTATCACCAATACTAACAGACTGTTCCCTGGACAGCCAAGATAAGACTCCTTTGAAATCCTTTCTGTCGCCTCAATAGGGGTAGTGAGAAGGGCCAGCATTGTGTCTCCTGTAAATTCACCAACATGCAAGACTTTCAAAGCTCATCTCAACAAGTATTGGCTCTCTCCCCGACTCCGAAACCTGTGTTCTGGCATTACTTAGTCTAGGCAGCTATATTAAGGATGACGTTCAGAAACCTATTTCCCTAATTAGGGTGAATTAATATACCAAGCAAACTGCAACTAGGTAAGCCTTTCTTTAGCAACTACAACAGAAGGGTAGTAGTGAGAGGCAGGATTGTAGAGCTAGGAGAAAGCATTAACTGTAGCTGCTAAGAGACAATTATGAGATTAGAGTCAGCTTCATCCTAACTTATACAGTGCACAGTATCTCATGGTACATGGCCTTGCTAGTAGCATTTGGGAGGTATAATGTTTTATTTAAGGGAGGACTTTCTTTCACATTGACATATCTATTCTGTTAGCTGCCAAGTTGACATTTAGTTCTTCTGATTTTTCAATTTACCTCCCTTTTAGGAACATGCTTGTACTGTCAGGAACCTAATACATTCTCAAAGTGTCGACATTAAGGACAAACTAAAAATTGACTTATCACGTAAGTAGTTAATATACATTCACTATGCATTGAAAAATAATTTATTAAGGGATTGCTGTGTGCCAGGCACTTTACTTGGTACTGAGGATGTGAAAAATGATAGAATGTGGTCTCTGACTTAATAGACTCATGCTTTGGAGAGGCTTAAGTCCTCTTCTTTTAAGAGGAAAGGAAGTAGGAATATTGCAACTTGAGTTGAGTGATTTTCATAGTGTATTTAAGGAAACTTGGGGGTCAACTGTGGGGTTTTCATACTGCTGGTAGTCTCCTATATATAAACTTTATGGTTTCTGAACATCCAAGGGAATGACAAATGAATATGCTGTTCTTTGTTTATGAAGGTGATATATATTTCTTTCCTTTTTCTTTTTTCTTTTTTTTTTTTTTTGAGATGAAGTCTTGCTCTGTAGCCAGTCTGGAATGGAGTGGCACAATCTTGGCTCACCACAAACTCCGCCTCCTGGGTTGAGGCGATTCTCCTACCTCAGCTTTCCAAGTAGCTGGGACTGTAGGTACATGCCACCATGCCCAGCTCATTTTTTGTGTTCTTAGTAGAGATGGGGTTTCACCATGTTAGCCAGGATGGTCTCGATCTCCTGACCTTGTGATCCGCCCACTTTGGCCTCCCAAAGTGCTGGGATTACAGGCGTGAGCCAGCGCACCCAGCCTGTATATTTCTTTCTTTTAAATAATATTTGCTATATTTGCAAATCATACATCCAATTAGGGGGTTAATATTTAAAATATATAAGGAACTCAAACAACTCAATAGCAAGAAAACAAATAACCAGATTTTAAAGTGAGCCAAGGCTCTGAACAGATACTTCTCAAAAGAAGACATACAAGTGGCCAAAAGGTTCATGAAAAAATGCTCAGCATCACTAATCATTAGGGGAATGCAAATTAAAGCAACAGCAAGATCACCTCACACGTGTTAGAATGGCTTTTATTAAAAAGGAGAACAATAACAACTGTTAGTGAGGATAAGGAGAAAAGGGAACCTTTGTACCCTGTTGGTGGTAATGTAAATTAATACAGCCTTTTATTTATTTATTTATTTTTGAGATGGAGTCTTGCTGTGTCACCCAGACTGGAGTGCAGTGGCGTAATCTCGCCTCATTGCAACCTCCGCCTCTTGGGTTTAAGTGATTCTCCTGCCTCAGCCTCCCGAGTAGCTGGGGCTAGAGGTGTCCATCACCATATCCAGCTATTTTTTTTTTTTTTTTTTGCATTATTAGTAGAGACGAGGTTTCACCACATTAACCAGGCTGGTCTCGAACTCCTGACCTCAAGTGATCCACCTGTCTCAGTCTCCCAAAGTGCTGGGATTACAGGCATGAGCCACTGTGCTCGGCCTACAGCCATTATTTTTTTGAAATGGTATGGAGGCTACTCAGAAAACTAAAAACAGAACAACCATATGATCCAGCACCCCCGCTTCTGTGAATATATTCACAGAAGGAATTGAAATCAACATATTGAAGGCATATCTCTCTATACTGCCATATTCAATGTAGTAGTATTCACAATAGGCAAGATATGGAATCAACCTAAGTGTCCATCAATGGATGAATAGATAAAGAAAATGTGGTACTTATACACAATGCAATACTACTCAGCTTTTAAAAAAACAAACAATTCTGTCATTTGGGACACCATGGATGAATCTAGAGGACATATGCACCAAGATCATGCATAAATAAATAAATATAAATAAATAAATGTTTGCACACAAGCTTGTCTGCCTAAAACACATACAACTAAAAATAAATAAATAAATTTTGCTAGTTAAAAAAAAATACAGAGATGTATATAAAGAAGAAAACAAAAAGTGGCACATAATCTCACCACTTAGTTAACACTTACTGACTTCTTAAAAAAAGATAATGTAAGTTCATAGTTAGAAAATTCAAATGAAAGAGGTCGGATGTGGTGGCTCATGCCTGTAATCCCAGCACTTTGTGGGGCTAAGGTGGGCGGATCACTTGAGGTCAGGAGTTCAAGACAATCCTGACCAACATGGCGAAACCCCATCTCTACTAAAAATACAGAAATTAGCACATGCCTGTAATCCCCAGGTACTCGGGAGGCTGAGGCACGAGAATCACTTGAACCCCCAGGGGCGGAGGCTGCAGTGAGCAGAGATCGCACCACTGCAATCCAGCCTGGGCAACAGAGCAAGACTCCTCCTTCTCAAAAAAAAAAAAATTTAAATGAAACAAAAGTTCAAAGGAGAAATAAAACTCTTCTTCCTTAGGGTGCCCCAACCTCAATACCACAGATAACTAACATTAACTGTTTCTTCCTATTTCCTTATTGACACAACTTTTATGCATAATACTAGCATTGAAACAATCTCTCTCTGTATTTGTAGGGTTAATTCACACAAAAAAAGGATCATGATAAACATAGTTTTGTAATCTTTCTTTTTTCACATAATATTAGAAGTTTATAACTGAATCCTCTTGTGTCAAAAGACATTCATGTTGGGACATCTGAGCAGCAAGATTCAGAATTTAGTTTATGGCTGTTGTATAGAATTTTATCTTTATGAAGCTAATTAGAGATTTAACTTGAGACTTACGAGCACAATTCTGAGGTCAGTCAACCCTTCCCTCACGTAGCCTTTGAAAACACAGAGGTACAATGACACGATTGAATGCTTCTAAAAAAAGGAATTGGTTTTAATGAATGGAATTTGCTTTTCAAGATGAGAATGAAACATTTATTGTTTCACCCATATTTAGTTCACATTCATTAACAAGAAACTTAGCTACTTTTGCACAAGCAACGTAAACTAAGAAAAAGCTCCATATACTTTCCCTTTTTTTCTTTAAGAAGCTACTAAAATTGTGCATACAATTCTAGCATTATGAGAGATAATAGATTTCTTGGAAAAACTAATCTGTCCCACACAAGTCTTCATTATTCAAACCTTAGGAAGTTTAAAAGTTCACTGAGAAGACGTCAACTTTAATTTTCACTTCTCTTCAGCTGATAGGCGCCATGCAGTTGTTGAAGTAGAAGATGTCCAACTAGCTGCTAAGCTGGTTGACTTGCCTTGTGTTACTGAAAGCCTGAAAACTCATGATAAAAAAACCTTTTATAAAACAGCAGACATTTCTCAGGTATGGACTAGTTTTCTTTACTAGCCTCACATCCTTCAAGGAATTCTTTTCTCTCCCTATTTTTCTTTCAGTACTCCTTTCCACTTGGTGAATGGCCGCTTGGCATTTCTAATTTCCAGATTGATTGCACAGGAATGAAATGTCCTGGTTTGGTGTTTGATCCTTAGCTTTCCGTACTTTATTTTAACCTAATAGCCCCCCATTTGCCATTTATAGTGACTTTTCATTAATTGAAATGTATGAGCAGCTAGGATCTTCTTCTGTACTTGGTATTAAAACAGTATGTTGTTAACTCTGGAGGTTTAAATTGGTTCTTATTCATCATCACTGCTGTTGATTTCTTATTTCCTCTCTAAATCAAAATGCTAAGATAGGCCAGGCACTATGTCTCATGCCTATAATCTCAACACTTTGGGAGGCTGAGGTGGTAGGATCACCTGATCCCAGGAGTTTGAGACCAACCTGGGCAACATAGTGAGACATCATCTCTACAAAAACAAAATTAGCCAGGTGTAGTGGCACACACCTATAGTCCCAGCTGTTCTAGAGATTGAGGTGGGAGGATCACTTGAGCCTAGGAGGCTGAGGCTGCAGTGAGCCATGATTGTACCACTGCACTCCAGCCTAGGTGACAAAGCAAGAGCTTGTCTTTAAAAAAACCTCTCAGAGTTCATATATGTAGTGATGCTGGTGGCTGGTGGAGGGGAGGAGAGAGAGAGAGAGAGAGAGAGAGAGAGACTGCAAAAATGAGAGAATATAAATGTACATTACATAATACTTGGTTTTCTGGAAATGGCAAGTATCATTCTCTTCTGTGCATTTCTAGTGGTAAGAATGATTATGATTGATTGCTAACCCAAGATTTGTGTTCATAGTCAACTTCTTTGTCTTTGTTAAATGTAGATGCTTGTGTGCACTGCTGATGGTGATCTCCACCCTTCTCCAGAAGAACCAGCTGCCTCTACTGATCCTAATGTAATCAGGAAAAATGAAAGGAAGAGAGAGAAAAAAGGTGTCTGGAAGCATGGCAGTAAGTCACAGTCCCTTGCTCATTCCTGCTGACTAACATTTATTTGCTGAATCCTAATTCCTTGTGAAACAGGGACCTCTTACCACACTTAGGTGCTTGGTTCATTAGGCCCTCAGACACTCTTAAGAAGAGTCATGTCAGCTGGGTGCCGGTGGCTCATGCCAGCACTTTGGGAGGACCCCTGTGGGTGGATCACCTGAGGTCAGGAGTTCAAGCCCAGCGTGTCTACTAAACCTCGTCTCTACTAAAAATTTAAAAAATTAGCTGGGTGTGGTGGTGCATGCCTGTAATCCCAGGGGAGGAGAATCACTTGAACCCAGGAGGCGAAGGTTGCAGTGAGCTGAGATTGCGACACTGCACTCCAGCCTGGGTGAGAGAGTGAGACTCTGTCTCAAAAAAAAAAAAAAAAGGAATCATGTCATGAGCCAGCAGCTTATAGCATGAGCTTTATCAAATTCAGCTATGTGACTGCCATGGGTCATATAACGTTTCGCTGTTTCCTATTTATTTTAGTTACTCCACCACTTAAGGATGTGAGAAAGAAAAGGTTCCGGAAAACAAAAACAAAGGTTAGTTACATGTCATTTTTGTGTCTGCCAGGCTGATTAGAAGAGGATCATGGGCCAGAAGGAAAAGGAAGAAGTCCATTGGGAATTTATTTGTTCGTTCATTTATATGTTCAGTAAACATTTATTGAATGTGAACTAAATGCCAGGCACTGTACGCCAACAGTTGGGAATATAGCAGTGAATACAAAGGCCTGATCCTTGAGGTTATAGGCTAGTCATTAGGGATCTGGAAGAATCATACATTGGAAACTTCTGTTAATGCCTTCAGTTTTCCATTGCAAGATCTAGGTTTAAAGTAAACCTATTTAGAACCTGAAAATTGGGAATTGCGGTTATATTTCTAATCTTATTTCAGGCTTGTAGAACCTTGGGCAAACTACAGAAGTATTGTGGCTTGGCTTCTTCTTTTGTTTAAAATTAAACATTTTATTTTTAAATAATTGTAAATTCATATACAATTATAAGAAATAAGAGAGAGATATCAGATTAGTGATTACCAAGTGTCAGAGACTGGGGTGCGAGGTGGAAGGAAAGTGGGCATGGTTATACAAAGGCAAAATGAGAGATCCTTGTGGTGATGAAACTGTCTGTATCGTTTTCCCCATTTTGCAAAACTATAGTACAATATCACAAACAGGTAATTGACATGATTAGAATTCAGCAATCTTATTCCAGTTTCTCCAGTTTTACTTGTACTCACATATATTTGTGTGTGTGCTTAGTTCTATGCAGTTTTATCCCATGCATAAGTTCATGAATCTGCCTACACAGTCAAAATAGAAAACAGTTTCATCACCACAAGGATCCCTCATTTTGCCTTTATATGACCATGCCCACTTCCCTTCTACCTCACACCCCAGTCTCTGATACTTGGTAATCACTAATCCAATCTCTATCTCTGTAATTTTGTCATTTCAAAGATTTAATATTAATGGAATCATACAGTATATAACATCAGAGACTAGCTTATTTTTTCATTCAGCATAATTCACTTAAGATCCATGTAAGTTTTTGTAGCATCAATATTTTATTTCTTATTACTGAGTAGTATTCCATGGTATGAATGTACCACATGACATAACTGTTCTCCTACTGAAAGACATCTGGGTTGTTTCCAGGTTTTGACTGTTATAAATAAAACTGTGAACAGGTTTTATTATATAAGTCTTTTATTATATAAGTCTTTATATAAGACTTTTATTATATAAGTCTTCATTTCTTTGGAATAAATGTCCAGGAGTATAACTGCTGGGTTGTATGGTAGTCGCATGTTTAGTTTTATAAGAAACTACCTCACTGTTTTCCAGAGTGACTGTACCATTTTGTATTCCTGCCGTTAATGTATGAATGATCCAGTTTCTCCACCTCCTTACCAGCATTAGGTGTTGTCGCTATTTTTTATTTTAGCCATTCTGTTAGGTGTGTAGTGGTCTCGTTGTGGTATTAATTTACATTTCCCTGATGGCTAATGAGGTTGTTCATGTGCCATCTGTTTCACTTCAGTGAAATGTCTGCTCATGCCTTTTGCCTATTTTCTTTCTTTTTTTTTTTTAGATGGATTCTCGCTCTGTCACCAGGCTGGAGTGCAGTGGCACAATCTCGGCTCACTGCAACCTCTGCCTCTTGGGTTCAAGCGATTATCCTGCCTCAGCCTCCTGAGTAGCTGAGACTGCAAGAGCACACCACCACGCCTAGCTAATTTTTGTATTTTTGTTGTATTTTGTATTTTCAACATGTATTTCACTATGTTGGCCAGGATAGTCTCAATCTCCTGACCTCATGATCCGCCTGCCTTGGCCTCCCAAAGTGTTGGGATTTCTACGCCCAGCCTTAGCCTATTTTCTAAATTGATAGTTTTGAGAGTTCTTTTTATATTCTAAATACTACTAGTGTTTTATCACATATGTAGTTTGCAAATATGTTCTCCCAGTCTGTAGCTTGTCTTTCCATCCTCTTCATAGGGTCTTTCAAAGAGCCAAAGTTTTTAGTTGTGATGAGGTCCAATATATTGATTTTTTGAAAATGATTTTGCTTTTTATAGTAAATCTAGGAACTATTCTCCTAGTCCAGATCTTGAAGATTTTCTCCTGCTTTTTTTTTTAACATCTTTTTAAATCTGTTACTCATTTTTTAGTTAATTTCTGTAAAAGCTATGAGGTTTACTTCAAGGTTCTTTTCTTTTGCTTTTCTTGCTAAAGGATGTCTAAGAGCTCTAGCATCATTTGTTGAGAAGGCTATCCTTCCTCTCTTGTATTGCTTTTGCACCTTTTCCAGACGTCAGTTGGGCTTGTATTTGTGGGTCTGTTTCTGGGTTCTATTCCACTGATCCATGTGTCAATCCCTCCACCAGTATCACAGTGTCGCTATATAATTGGTCCTGAAATCAGAAGACTGATTGCTCTGACTTTTTTTTTCTTTTGGTCAATATTGTTTAGCCATTCTAGAGGCCATATATTTATTTTTTTCATTTTTTTAAATTTTTTTGAGATGGAGTTTTGTTCTGTTGCCCAGGCTGGAGTGCAATGGTGCGATCTCAGCTCACTGCAGCCTCCGCCTCCTGGTTTCAAGCAATTCTCCTGCCTCAGCCTTCTGAGTAGCTGGGATTACAGGCATGCGCCACCCTGCCCAGCTGATTTTTGTATTTTTAGTAGAGACGGGGTTTCACCATGTTGACCAGGCTGGTCTTGAACTCCTGACCTCAGGTGATCCGCCCACCCTGGGCTCCCAAAGTGCTGAGTACAGGTGTGAGCCACTGTGCCCCAACAAGAGCCCATATCTTTTAATATAAATTTTAGAATAAGCTTGTCTATAGCTACATAAAACCTTGCTAGAATTTTGACAGGAATTGCATTAAACTTTGAGATCAATTTGGGGATAATTGACATTTTTTACTATGTTGAGTCTTCCGATCCATGAACACAGCTGCCTTGGCTTTTATACTCTGTAAGTCAACATTTATTGAGTCCCTACTAAATGTAACACTAAGTTAAGAATAGTTGTAGAGCTCTTTACACTTTACTGAAGTATAGCAATCATAATATAATTTGTTTATTATGTTTTATTTAATAGGTTCCTGATGTCAAAAAAATAGAAGAAATCAGCTCTACTAAGGTAGAGCAATCATAATATAACTTTATTTTTACCCTTAGTGTGTTTTATTTAATAGCTCATTAGTTTTAAATGAATCAAATAAATCACAAAAGCTATTTTTGAGCCTTCCTTCTCACCTCTAACCCTCATCCCAAACACATACACTGGTTTTGATTTACTGAAAAATGAATTCATTGTTTGATGTTTGATAACTCCTGTAGGAAAAGATACAGTTTGGCCAGTGACCCCGTATATTCTAATCTGCTCTTTTTTCTCTCATATTTATTTCAAAAGCCATTTCTTGGAAGCCAGAGTTCACTTTTAACAGCAGTTGTTTGCAATTGCTTATTCCCCCTCAAAGTCCTAATTTATATTTGTGGCATGACAAATTGGTTGCTGTGGAGATATTTATGTAAAACTGGATTCAAGGGAGAACATGCAGCTAAGATCCAGTTTTTGTTGGAATGTCTCTAATAATAAAGATGTGGAGAAGTGAAATCTGGGAATTTGGATCTTTCAACCAAATTATTTCTAAATAACTAATAAAAAATTATAGTTTGTTGCCAATATAAATCTGGACAAATAATCAATAACTGAGACCTAAGGGTTGCACCTCTGAGAAAGGTCTTGACATAGAGCTGCAGATTGAAAAGATTAAACATCTCAAGTAATTTGTTTAATTAGGAAAAAATAAGTTTACTGTACAAAATTCTAGACCCTGGCTAAAGATTCCTTCATAAATAGCACTACTTAAAGTAGAAATTTGGTTGGATCAGAATTTAAAAAGACCTAACATTTGAATTTATTGGTACATAGAAGGGCACTCCTGCAAAACACAGGGTGTTAAATGACAATACTGGTATTCCCCTCTAGTCCCCAACTTCGCTTCAGAACATTGAATCTCCAGATGTGGAAAAGGAAGTAAAGACACTGCTGCGTTCAGATGCTGAAGCCATAAGTACCCGTATCCTTTATAAAAAATATTTTACACATAGTCTGTTCTGCCCCATTTGTACACGCTGACAAAGCCTCACCTCTGGTGTTTGTGTGCCAGTCTTGATGTTTAAAAGTTAAGATTTTTTTGAAATGTTCTGTTCTAGCTAGGAACAGTAAATTCATGTAATAGAAAATTATTTATTGTGTAATTCAGTATAAGACACTTCTGCAAACTAGGAATTAGGATACAAACGGTCTAAAGTTGGACTAAATTAAATAGCACTGTTAGCCAAAGAGCCTATTCTCTTTCATCTGTGCCTTTTCCTTCCCTTCTGTGTTTTCCTTGACTACCCCCTACTCTCAGGTTGGGAAGTTATTGCTGAAGATGGAACCAAGGAAATAGAAAGTCATGGCTCCATCCCAGGATTTGTGATATCCTCGGGAATGAACAGCTACAAGCAGAGTCACATCTCATCAGGTACTTTAGTATTAAGGCAAAGCAGGAGCGTCAGATATGGGAGGTGTTGACTGGGTGTCAGATCATTTTCCATAAATTCATAGGCCAATCAAAAAAATGTCTTCGTCCTTCTTCCCTCTTTTTTTTTTTTTTTTTTGAGATGGAATCTCGCTCTGTCACTCAGGCTGGAGTGCAGTGGCATGATCTACAATCTCTGCCTCCTGGGTTCAAGCGATTCTCCTGCCTTGGCCTCCCAAGTAGCTGGGACTACAGGCATACACCACCACACCCAGCTAATTTTTGTATTTTTAGTAGAGTCAGGGTTTCACCATGTTGGCCAGGCTGGTTTCAAACTCCTGACTTCAGGTGATCACCCGCCTCGGCCTCCCAAAGTGCTGGAATTACAAGCATGAGCCACTGTGCCCAACCTTTTTTTTTTTTTTTTTTCCTTGAGACAGAGTCTGACTCTGTTGCCCAGGCTGGAGTGTAGTGGTGTGATCTCGGCTCACTGCAACCTCTGCTTCCGAGGTTCAAGTAATTCTTGTGCCTGGGCCTCCCAAGTAGCTGGGATTGTGGGCATGTACTGCCACAACCAGCTAAATTTTTTTTTGAATTTTTAGAAAAGAAGGGCATTCACCGTGTTGGCCAGGCTGGTCTCAAACTCATGGCCTCAAGTGATCTGCCTGCCTCGACCTCCCAAAGTGCTGGGATTACAGGCATGAGCCACCACACCCAGCCCTTCTTCCCTCTTATTGGTCTCTTGGCAGTTTAGGGGTTTTAGATTGGTATTCTAATCTCCCATCCACCGCTGGTATTTTAACTTCCTATGAGCCTTAGATTCTCTAAATGTCTTGATCATTCACTACATGAATGAATGTTACAGTGTTTTACATTTGCTGTCCTTGTTTTATGAAGCGAATAATCTTCCTGCAGAAAAAAATGATTTATAAAATTCACTGGTTGCCTGGGGAATTTGAAAGTAAGGAATATAATTGTATTTAGAGTATAAGTTATTTGCAGAATTTTAGATAGTTCACCTTCTTCTTGCTTAAAACCAGTAGAATATTATATGCTTCGAGAGATGTTCAGTGGTTCTAGAAGTAACAGTGATGAGGATGAGGATGAGGACAATGAGGATGACGAGGAAAATGAGGATGACAAGGAAGATGAGGATGACGATGAGGATGACAATGAGGATGAAGATAAGGAAGAAGAGGAAGATGATTCTGAAGAGTATCTCAAAAGGCAGATACAGGCCAAGTTTATTGAATCTGGCCAGTATAGGGCAATTGAAGGTTTCAGTTCAATAGGTAAGTCAGAGAAAAAACAAAGGGATGGGACCGGGGTGGGTGGCAGTGCTAAAGGTTGATTCTAAGCATACATTAGACTCAAAGCTAAGCTTAAGAAGTTATTGCTCCAGTGTTTAGTGGAGTTTTACTTGATTTGGATCTTGGTCCATTCATTTAGGCTATATTTAAATACATAAAGTTACTGTGTATCTCTGTTAGTCATGGAAATTCAGAAGCAGATTTGTAAAAAGGAGAAAAAGCTCCATGAGATTCAGAAGAAAGCACAAAGACAGAATGATCTCACCATGAAAGTGGAAAACCTGACACTCAAGGTAAGTTCTTGGCTGGCATAAAGGAATCCTGATATCTTTCTTTCAGTATCTTGCCTTTGTGTTTCCACTTATGTCATTTCTTTTTTTCTTTTTAAGCCTGCGGCACCCGGTATTTCCAGGCGGTCTCCCATCCAAGTACTAACCAGGCCCGACCCTGCTTTGCTTCCAAGATCAGACGAGATCGGGCGCGTTCAGGGTGGTATGGCCACAGATCCACTTATGTCATTTCTATGAAGGGTTCTTGTTCGTTCATGAACCTAAACAGTCTCTTAGAAACTCCCAATAAAAGATAACCCCATTTCCTTTTACCTGAGTAATTTTGATCATCTAATATAAGCATTTTGGGGACAGGACTAGGTGATTTGAGATTAAAAATTGGAAATATTGAGCATTTGCTATGTAAAAGGCACATTAAAGGACTAAGAATTGTATATGTATTACCACATTTTTATCCTCACACCCTTGAAACATAGCTACTGTCACCACTCCCATCTTATAGATAAAGAATTAAAACTCAAAGAGGTTAAGTAACTTGCCAGGAATCACAGTAAATGGTAGGACATAAATTGAACCCTGTTATTTGTCTTAAAATGTATCCATTGCAGTAAAAAAGAAAAATAATTAGTTTTAAAATTTTTGGTGCATGTTTGAACAAGAATAAATATCTTGCTTTATTTTTATTAATATATGCTTAAGAGCTTCAATAAAAAGAAAATATATGTTTAGGCCATGTTTGCTACCGTTTTTAGTGAGGGAAGTTCTGAAGCATTTGGAATTTCCTGCCAGATTTCATTTTCTTTAGAGCTGTAGTCAGCAAAGGGGAGCACAGAACTATATCCTTTTTGAGTGTTATCCTTTAGAATAACCAAGTAAGATAACAGATAAGGGCACACTTTGAAAGATACAGATATATGCTATTGTTGTGATTATAGTTACCTATAGTACTAGTTAGGAATAGTGATACTCTGCCCTAGTTAGGGAAAATGGAGGCATCACCAGCACCAGATTCTAAACCAACTTCTATAACAGGTCACCATAGACAAAGGATTTGTGCTAAACTAGAAAAAGGTAACATAGGGCCGGGCGCGGTGGCTCACGCCTGTAATCCCAGCACTTTGGGAGGCCGAGACGGGTGAATCACAAGGTCAAGAGATTGAGACCATCCAGGTCAACATGGTGAAACCCCGTCTCTACTAAAAATACAAAAAATTAGCTGGGCATGGTGGCGCGTGCCTGTAATCCCAGCTACTCGGGAGGCTGAGGCAGGAGAATTGCCTGAGCCCAGGAGGCGGAGGTTGCGGTGAGCCGAGATTGCGCCATTGCACTCCAGCCTGGGTAACAAGAGCGAAACTCTGTCTCAAAAAAAAAAAAAAAAAAAAAAAAGAAAAAGGTAACATAAAGGCATTACAATAATTTAGGGCAAGAAAAAAATGCTATAGAGTGTATATAAAATCAAATTTGATTGTGTTATAGTTAGGGGGGATAGTTTTTATACTCCAAATTTTTTTAAATGAGTGCTCTTTTGTATGACTGGCCATTTATTATTTGTGGCTGGGCTCAGTGGCTCATGCCTATAATCCCATCACTTTGGGAGGCTGAGGCAGGTAGATCACTTGAGGCCAGGAGCTCGAGTCCAGCCTAGGCAACACAATGAAACCTCATCTTTACTAAAAATACAAAAATTAGCCAGGCATGGTGGCATGATCCTGTAATCCCAGCTACTCAGGGCACTGAGGCATGAGAATCGTTTGAGCCTGGGAGGTGGAGGTTGTATGAGCCGAGATTGCGCCACTACACTCCATCCTAGGTGACAGAGGAAGAAAGACTCTGTCTCAAAAACAAAACAAAACAAAACAAAAACAATTATTTGCCAAACTCTTTGTCTCCCTTGGTTCCTTTTTCCTTTGAGACTCAGCATTCATCAGTTATTCAATTTATTTTTCAGAATCATTTTCAGTCTGTGCTGGAGCAGCTTCAGGTACAGGAAAAACAAAAAAGTGAGAAGGTAAGAAGTATGTTTTCATATTAACCAGAAAACACTTGATACAGAGAATCCCCCACCTTACCTCCAGTATTATTGCTGGCTATTCCTCTCATAGGAGTAGTGGTGGCCAGATCTTCTAAATTAAGGTGGTAGGGTGGAACAAGGTCTTTGTGAAAATTCACTCATTCAACAGATATTGAATGCCTATGAAGTGAAAAGCACTGGATGTACAGTGATGAATAAGACAAATACAATGCAGTAAATCTTCAATGTCATCGATAGGTTCTTGGAAACCGTAACTTTAAGCTAAATGATGTATATATAATGAAACCAATTTTACTATAGGCTAATTGATACAAAGAAGAGTTAAGTTCCTGTGGCATATTTCTGGCCACAAAACATTATCAAACTTCTAAATGAAAACCAAAACACTTCTAATATTAAACACTGAAATAAATGTGAGCTTTATGTACATTTGAGAAAAACTGATAAAAACAAGTAAGATGATTATGTACCCAGTGATTTCAGTTCAGGGTTTGCAGATGGCCAGAGCTTATCCCAGTAGCTCTAAGTGCAATGTGGGAACCACCCCTGGATAGGATGGCATCCCATTGCAGGGCACACTCACACCCACACTCAGTCAGACTGGGACTATTCCGACAAACCAATTCACCTAACATGTATGGGGAAGTGATTCTTTTTTTCTCATCAACATTGTAATGAAGTCAGGGGTAGTGGCTCATGCCTGTAATCCCAGCATTTTCGGAGGCTGAGGCGAGCAGCTCACTTGAGCTCAGGAGTTCGAGACCACCTGAGCAACTTGGCAAAACCCCGAATCTATAAATAATTAGCCGATTGTGGTGGCTGTAAGTCCTATAAGCCTGTAGTCTCAGCTGCTCAGGATGCTAAGGTGGGAGGATTGCTTGAGCCCAGGAGGTTGAGGCTGCAGTAAACCATGATCCATGCTACCGCACTCCAGCTTGGGCAACAACGTGAGACCCTGTCTCAAAAAAGAAAAGAAAAACATTATAATGAAACGACATTGAACTAACAACGTTAGTTGGAGACCTTTTGCATGTCACTTTGCTTAAAGTTACAGTTTCTAAGAACCTATTGATGACATTAAGTGAGGACTTACTGTAACAAAATGACACTGAACAAAATGGTGTCATTCAAGAACCTGCCACACTTGTCCTCATGGAGCTGTCTAGCAGGGGAGATTGACAATAAACAAATTATGCTAATATAAAGGTACAAATTGTGAAGAAGTGCCATGAAGGAAAAAAGTCAATGGTGCTCTTAGAATAAAGACAGTCTTGAATTAATGGAGGATCATGATAGACCTCTCCTAGGAGGTGCTATTGAGGCTGAGACCTGAAGGATTAAGTTCAGGGAAAGAGTGGGATGAAGAGCCTCTTAGGTGGAGCATATGCAAGGTCCCATGCTTGGAAAGAACTTGGCCTCTTTGAGGACCTTTGGAATATTTAAAGCAAGGAAGAGAATGGCTTAACATATGGTTGGAGAAGTAGGTGAGGCCAGAGTGTATGGTTCCTTGCAAGCCATGATTAGGAGGATCGCTTTGGCCTTAAGTGTAATGGGAAGCCCTTGAAGAATTTTAGGCAGGAAAATCATATGTACTTTAAACTTTTAAAAGATTACTCTGATTATTATCTGGAGAATGGATTGGAAGAAGGTGAGAGTAGAAGCAAAGAGGTTGGTGAGGAGGCTGTGGTACTCTAATAACAGGATGGTAACTTGGACTAGGTAGTAGCAATGGAGATGGAAAGAATATAGATTTTTAAACTGAAATAAAAATATTTTTATAACTGCTTGAGATGTAACTCATATACCATACAATTCACCCATTTAGGCTGGGTGCAGTGGTGCACACCTGTAATCCCAGCACTTTGGGGGGCCAAAGTGGGCAGATGACTTCAGCCCAGGAGTTCAAGACCAGCCTGGGCAACATGGTGAAACCCCATCTCTCCAAAAAAATATACAAAAATTGGCCAGGCGAGGTGGTGTGTGCCTGTAGTCCCAGCTACTCAGGAGCCTGAGGTGGGAGGATCACTTGAGCCTGGGAGGCAGAGATTGCAGTGAGCAGAGATCCCACCACTGCACTCTAGCCTGGGTGACAGAGAGAGACTGTCTCAAACCCCATCCTCCACCCCACAATTCACCCATTTAAACTATACAATTCAGTGGCTGTTGGTATATTCAGAGTTGTACAACCATCACTGAAGTCAATTTTGGAATAGTTTCATCACTCCAAAAAGAAACCTTGTATCCATTAGTAGTGACTCCCCATTTCCCTGGAACCTCTCCCCTGCCCAGCACTAGGCAACACACTCATCTACTTTCTACTAATCTGCCTATTCTAGTTATTTCATACAAGTGAAATCATTTAATACATGGTCTTTTGAGTTGGGCTTCTCTCATTTAGCGTATTTTTGGGGTTCATCCATGTTATGGCATATATCAGTACTTTTTTCCATTTAAGACTGACTAATATTCCATTGTATCAGTATACCGCATTTTGTTTATTCATTCATCTGCTGATGGACATTTGGATTGCTTTCACTTTCGGCTATTATGAATAATGCTGCAATGAACATTGATGTATTATAGAATATATTTCAAAGGTAGAATTGAGGAGTTGGGTCAATTACTGGGTGTTGAAGGAGAAGGAATCATTAAGGATGTATGCCAGATTTCTAACTTGAATGACAACTATATTTTTTCAAAGCCACAAGAGAGTATACAGAGTGAAAAGAGAAGAAGGCAATATAGGCTAAATGAGAGTCAAGTAGCTTTATAGAAAATGTGTGCTGACTCTAACCTTATACTGTTGAGGTTTACAATTTTAAAGAGACTGGAGTTGGTATGAGGATGGGCTTAGCATGGTGCCCTTAAAGTACAGGCACTACCCCCCACCCCCATCCCTCAAGGCCAGGGGAATTTTTATGTTCTATATAGTCCCTTCCTCTCAGCAAATCACTTATCCAAGTACTGCTTTAAAACAATCAGATAAACAGTTAACGCCAAGATTGTTTTAGTACCCACCAAACATCTTTGTTTTCATCAATGTAAGTGCAATTGTGTGCTGTATGACAACATTTTGGCCAATGACAGACTGCATATATGATAGTGGTCCCATAAGATCATAATGGAGCTAAGAAATTCCTGTCACCTGGTGACATTGTCACTGTCATAACATAGTACAATTATTTAATTTTTAAATTAATTTAGTGTAGCCTAAGTGTATAGTGTTTATATAGTCTACAGTAGTGCACAGTAATGTCCTGGGCCTTCACATTCACTCACCACTCACTCACTGACTTACCCAGAGCAATTTCTAGTCCTGCATGCTCCTTACCATTTTTTTTCTTTTTTTCTGAGTTGGAGTATGGCTCTGTCACCAGGCTAGAGTGCAGTGGGGCGATCTCGGCTTACACTACAACCTCACCTCCTGGTTTCAAATGATTCTCCTGCCTCAGCCTCCCGAGTAGCTGGGACTACAGGCACCTGCCACCATCCTGGCTAATTTTTGTATTTTTGGTAGAGATGGAGTTTCACCATATTGGCCAGGCTGGTCTCGAACTCCTGACCTTGTGATCTGCCTGCCTCGGCCTCCCAAAGTGCTGGGATTACAGGCATGAGCACCTGGCCAATTTTTAATTTTCTATACTGTATTTTTAGTTTACCTTTTTTTGTTAAGATACACAAATAGTTAACATTGTGCTATAATTGCCTACAGTATTCAGTGCAGTAACATGCTGTACAGGTTTGGAACGATAGACTATACTGTGTAGCCTAGGTGTGTAGTAAGCTATACTATCTAGGTTGGTTTAAGTATGCTCTATCATGTTTGCATAATGACAAATCGCCTAAGGATGTATTTCTTAGAACATAGTCCCTTTGTTAAGTAACGCATTACTATAGTTAGTATTGAGGAGCAGCATAGAAATGTAGCTGTAAACCTTATTTACTCAGAGTCCTTTAATGTTAGTTCATTTACCCAAATTAGATTTAGGGGGTATCTACTTTAAGCTAGGCTCTGCAGAGAGCTATGATATACTTATGATGTAGTCTCTGCCTTCATTTGGGGAGAAATTGACAAGATGGGTAGGGACTTAAAGGAATGAGAGATTGTCCATGGATATTAAGGAAAGCTTCAATGAAGAAGATGGTGTTTGACTGGGGCCTTAAAATATAGGTAGAGTTTTAATAAGGAGATAGGGAAAGTAGTGCATTCCAGGAGAAAGCAGCATGCACATTGGCTCAGAGGTGGTGATGCCGGGGTGAATAGTTTAAATTTTTGGTGTATGTCATAATGAGCCTTCAAAGCTTTTTTACCTGGGGCGTAACTCAGGAAGATTTTTATAGGAGAAAGTATATAGGAGAAAGTATATAGGAGAAATTGGAGTGGGTACAGCCTAGAGCTTCAAAAGTGCAAGTGGTAGAAGCAAACAGAACTTAACAATTGATTGGATTTATAGGGCAAAAAGGGGAACAAAGATGAATCCAAAGCCTGGGCAACTGGGAAATGATGTGCTGTTGACTGAAATTAGGGTAACAAAAAGTGGATTTGGAGGGATATGTGGAGAAGTGCTTTTGAAAATGAGAAACTGGAAAGAGGCCCATACACAGAAATGATCATTGAAGCTGTGGGGCTAGTTGAGTTAGCCTGGTTGACTGTTCGGCAAGAAGTCTGAACCTAAGGAAAACCTATCTTTAGGGGGTGGTGGTAAGAGAAAGAGCCTGCAAAGGAGAAAGAACTGGAGCAGTCAGTGGTTGTAATTGTGGTCAGTCAGGGGTCACTCAGCAACTGAATGAAAGAACCTCTAAGTTACTTCGGATAGCAATTATTGTGGCTTGGTAGGTGATGTGCAGCATAGGATTGTTTCATAATATTCCGTTCATTTCACAGACTTAAAAATTCATTCTGGTATGGGGTGTTCTGAAATGAATAATATTCAAAAACAACCTTTGTTGTAAAGATGGCATATATCTCTGAATGTTATTCGTCACTTTACCATTTCGAGTTAAAAAAATTAAATCCTATACCACAAAATGTTCAGGGGTTCTGACTTAGAAAGCATCATCAGGCTCCCAATTGGTCAGGACTCCAACTCAGTTTCTAAGTGTCTCATAATGTGGTAAGAAGCAGCTGGTAAGACTCAGTCTAAAACCCATGGTGTTCATTGGGACAAGAGGGTATCCCAACTGTTTTATCATCTGATTCTTAGGATGTGGTTATAGAGAGATCCCATCTCCTTCGCCCCTACAGTGAGCTGTGACCTCTGTGTATTCTTTACAGAAGCACAGATTCTTAACAGCAAACATACTGTTTTTTTTTTAAAGCATATTCAATTTTAAAGGTTGATATGGTTTGGCTGTGTCCCCACCCACATCTCATCTTTAATTCCCATGTGTTGTGGGAGGTATCCAGTGGGAAGTAATGAAATCATGGAAGCAGGTCTTTCCCATGCTGTTCTCATGATAGTGAATAAGTCTCACGAGATCCAATGGTGTTACAAAGGGGAGTTTCCTTGCATAAACTCTCCTCTCTTTGCCTGCTGCCATCCATGTAAGACGTGACTTGCTCCTCCTTGCCTTCCACCATGATTGTGAGGCCTCCCCAGCCATGTGGAACTGTTAAGTCCATTAAACCTCTTTTTCTTCCCGGTCTCAGATATGTCTTTATCAGCAGCATAAAAATAGACTAATACAAAGCTTCCTTTCATAAATTGGGCATAATAAAGGACAACATCATGACCACAGCATTGCACATGCATTCTTTACTGTGGCCAGTATTCTTTGGAACATTGCAAGACTAAGATAACCTCATAAATGCCAAATAACAATAGCTCTTTTGGGTTTATGTAAATAAATTCTAGATCAAGTAATGGGGCTTCAGATTTCAAATGAATTTTTCGTGTCTTTCTGCCTCTCCCTACAGCTCATTTCCCTACAGGAAAAATTGCAGTGTTTTCTGAAGAAGTGACGAGAGCCATTAGCCTGGCACACAAACCTTGGATTCACCATCCAAACTGAAGACTGGATGAAACTGTGCAAGTTTCTGTCCCTTCGGCTGCCTTATGTTGAATCAGTTATTTTTATCTGTACCTTTTTTGCTAATTTTAATATGCTCAAAGTTTGTAGTCATGTAGAAAAGGGCAGTATCAAAAATGATAGACTTAGAGATCCCATTCAGCCATGAGACTTTCTCTTCGTCAATTTGGGAATTATTATTATTAATTTAGAAATTAGTCCCTTCAGCTGCCTTATGTCAAATCAGTTATATTTATCTGTACCTTTTTTGCTACTTTTAATATCCTCAAGGTTTGCAGTCATGTAGAGAAGAGCAGTATAAAAAATATTAGAGATCTCATTCAGCCATGAGACTTTATCAATTTTGGAATTATTATTATTAATTTAGAAATGAGTCCCTTCAGCTGCCTTATGTTGAATCAGTTATATTTATCTGTACCTTTTTTGCTACTTTTAATATGCTCAAAGTTTGTAGTCATGTAGAAAAGGGCAGTATCAAAAATGATAGACTTAGAGATCCCATTCAGCCATGAGAATTTCTCTTTGTCAATTTGGGAATTATTATTATTAATTTAGAAATGAGGTCTTCTTAGGTTACCCAGGCTGAATTCAGACTCCTGGGCTTAAGGGATCCTCCCACCTCAGCCTCCTGAGTAGCTGGGACTACAGGTGTGCACCACCACACTGAATGAGAATTAATTTTATTGCTTCTGTGCTATGGTACCAGCAGATGATTCAGCCATGCTTCCAAAAGCAGTCTAGTCTAGAGGCCATACAGCTGGTTTGTTTGCATATGTTTTAGCTTTTCTTTTGGTTTGTAATATTTCCTAAAACTTACAGGAAAAGATGAGGTAATTTCTACTAAGCACTAGCACCTGCCACAGTTAATTTAAGTGCCTACCTTGCAGCAGTTAATACTAGATTGTGTCCTGTCCAGGTAACAGGGCTGCATTCCTGCTCAAGGATGATTTATTGCTGCTGCTTATGTTTGTTCTGTTGTTTTTAGGACTGGAGCTGGTTGTTATTCACCAGCTAAGAGTAGAGATGAAGAAATTATGAACCGTTATCCTTATTCTGAGCCTTCCCCTCTTAACTCCCATCAGTTAAGGTTAGGAAGAGCAAGTTGCCATTATGCCTGTGAAGACTTCTTTAACGATCTTTGGTTTTTTTCTAGGTATATTATTAGTGTTTTATGCTGTATGTTCTTTAAGCAATAAATAAATTGTTCCTTTTAAATGATTGCCATCAATTTATTAAACCATCCCCTATGATGAGTGCACTCATATCCAAAAGGAAACAGAAAGATAAGCAATAAACTCTATATCTTAGGTCATTTGGGCTGCTGTAACAAAAATACCATGGACTGGGTAAATTATAAACAACAGAAATATATTGCTCATAGCTCTGGAGGCTGGGAAGTCTAAGATCAAGGTGCCAGCAGCTTTGGCATCTGGTAAGGGCTCTGTCTGCTTCCTAGATACTGTCTTCTGGGTGCATCCTCCCATGGCAGCGGTGCAAATGAACTCCCTCAGGCCTCTTTTAAAAGGGCACTAATTCCATTCATAAGGGTGGAGCCCTCATTACCTAATCACTTCCTAAAAGCCCTAACTCTTAATACTAATATGGTACAGATTATGTCTTAACATATGAATTTCGGGAGACACATTCAGACCATAGCACTCTGATTAGAAAATGGCAGAAGATGCTATCAGTCTTGGGGCATCTTTCCAGAGTTCTTAGGATGACTCTTAATGAACTAAGCAAATCAAATCCCAATGCTATATGATTAACATGAGATGACTTGCCCCAAATCCCAATGCCATATGGTTAATATGAGATGGAGGGGAGATATACAGAGAACTGATACAAATGGCAACTCTAATATTTGGGTTGAATTATGCTGTAGTAGAACAAACACAAGGTTGGAACTTGGCTTGGGCAAGTCCCTACACTTCTTAGTGCCTCTGTTTTCTCACTGGAAATCATGGGCGATAATGCTTATCACCAAGAGGCATCTGAGGGTTTTCTGGACGTAGCCCAGCTAGCCCCAGGTCTGATCCCAATTGACAAAGTCAGAGCTGCTTTAGGAAATACACTCCTAAATTCTCTGTGCCACTTTTAGTGCTCCTCCAAGTCAAAGTTAAGCCATGGGAAAGGAGAGGTCATATATGGGCAGGGCCAGTGAAGCTGGGATGGAGACAGCAGGCATGCTGGAGAAAATGCAAGAGAAAAATAGGACTAAGGGAGACAGGCATGTTAAAGGCAAATGAAATGTAGCCCAGATTAGGAGAGAAGTTCAAGGATCACTTGAAAACCAAGATGATATTTTTAAAATACTGTTTTTTTTTCTCAGAAGTCCATAACTTAAAAGTTGAGAATAAGGAGAAAGAATGGGGAAAAGGAGTTGAGTGTCAGAGGTAGAAGGTGGGGGAAGAGGAAGAGTTTGAAAAGAAGATAGGCCTTTTCAGATAAAGGCAGACAGGGAACTGATAGAAAGTTCCCTGGGGTCGGGCCGGGCACAGTGGCTCAAGCCTGTAATCCCAGCACTTTGGGAGGCCTAGAGGTGGGTGGATCACGAGGTCAAGAGATCGAGACCATCTTGGTCAACATGGTGAAACCCCATCTCTACTAAAAATACAAAAAATTAGCTGGGCATGGTGGCGCGCGCCTGTAGTCCCAGCTACTCAGGAGGCTGAGGCAGGAGAATTGCCTGAACCCAGGAGGCGGAGGTTGCAGTGAGCCGAGATCGCACCATTGCACTCCAGCCTGGGTAACAAGGCGAAACTCCGTCTCAAAAAAAAAAAAAAAAAAAAAAAAAAGAAAGTACCCTGGGGTCATGCTGGAGAGACAGACCAGTCAGTGTGGCACATGCGCTACAGCAGGCATCCAGGAGTGAGAGAGGTAGAAGAGCCCTCGTGCAGCCTCTCATACTGCAGCCTGAGAACAGCCAGAGCTCTGCTGAGAGGCAGGATGGTAGGGAAGACAACACAACAGGAAGGGGCAACGGCAAGCTAGTGTGTTTGCAGTACCCCTCCATCTCCTCTGCTGCCACTTCTCAATGTAACCCGGGGGGCTGCTTCACCACTGCCCTCCAGTCACCCAAGGCTATTGCCCTTCTGACTTTCCACCCCACCCCAGCATACACATGTACACATTGACTCTGACACCTCAGAAAGTTTTCCTTTGCTATAGCCCAGTAATTCTGACTTCTGTATGCTACAGACTTCGGCTATCCAATATGGTATCCACTAGGCACATGTGGTTTTTGAGTATCACGTGGCTAGCCTGAGTTGAGAAGTGCAATAAGTGTGAAACAAACACTGGATTGATTGATTGACTGATTTAGAGATGGAGTCTCACTCTGTTGCCCAGGCTGGAGTGCAGTGGCGCAATCTCGGCTCACTGCAACCTCTACCAACCAGGTTCAAGTGATTCTCCTGCCTCAGCCTACAAAGTAGCTGGGATTACAGGCACCTGCCACTGCACTTGGCTAATTTTTGTAGTTTTAGTAGAGACAGAATTTCTCCACATTGGTCAGGCTGGTCTCGAACTCCTGATCTCGGTGATGCACTTGCCTCAGCCTCCGAAAGTGCTGCGATTACAGGTATGAGCCACTGTGCCCGGTCTATAAACACTGGATTTCTATAAAGGAACTGCTCTATGCCTGCATCCTGATGACCTTATTACTATCCATGTAGGCCACACAGGCCACGGTCAACTGCAGGCTGACTCAGGTCCTGGCAGAACACCCTGTGATCCTCCTGGAACATGGAAAGACAGGCAGTCTTGTGAGAATTTGCTACAAGAACGTTTCTCAGTCATCTCCCTATCTTGAGGGAGGTTGCCATGAGGCAGCTTGTTACCTGCCTCCCTCATTCCAGTAAAGTATAGGCTTTCTGCCTGCTTCCCACACCAGAGGGTACAGCTGCAGGCCATAAAACTGCTTATCTGCAGTGTCATTGGCTACACAGTACCAGGGGGTCCTACCATTCATGTTGCCTGTCATCTGGCCCCTTTTGTTGTCCTATTATATTGTTCTGTGGGTAGAGGGATGCAGAGAGCTGATAGCATTGTTGATCTTGCTTTTGCTGTCTCTATAAGGAATAAACTGTCTGGATCCATCTGGATTTCTTGTTTTTGTTTGTTGTTGTTGTTGTTTTGTTTTCCCCAACTGGATGTGGCAGCTTGCTTGACATTTCCATAACTTAGTTAAAAATATATTTTAAAATCTCAATAATTGTTTTATACTGATTACATGTTGAAAGGGTAATATTGTGGATATATTGCGTTATTAAAATTAATTTCATCTATTTTTACTTTTGTAATATGGCTGCTATAAAATTTAAAATTAAATATGTGGCTTGCATTATTTTATACTGGACAGTGTTGCTATAGTTTGGTAAGAGGCTGAGGCAGGAGAATCGCTTGAACCTGGGAGGCGGAGGTTGCAGTGAGTCGAGGTTGCGCAACTGCACTCTAGCCTGGGCGATAGAGTGGGAAAGAGGGACTGACAGGGTTTTTTTAATTGACAGAATATATGTGTGTGTGTGTGTGTGTGTGTATACACACACATAATCTCAGAATAAAAGGTAGACCTTTAAACTGAATATATATAACTTTATGAAAACTCAATGCATTGTCCTGACTTTTCTTAAAATGCTTTGGGGTGGTGAAAAATCCTCAGATTGAGGAGGATGAAATTTAGAAACCATTTCTATATACAGCTCACCTCATAAGGTGCTAACTAGCTAATCTGGGAAGGGTTGGAGGGGCATTGAGAGGTGACTGATCCAGGTAACGGTGGCAGATGGGCCCAATGGGGAGTCTTTTTGTGTCCCATAGGTGTTGAACTCATCTGGTGGCCTTATGTTTTATAGTACTTTTGTGGCTTCTTGGTCTTACTCTCTCTTCCCACCCCTAAATAAGGGAAAGATATGAAATATCAGAGTCAGAGAGCATAACCAGAGGAACCAAATTAAACAAGTACAAATTTATTCTTTTCAAAGCAGAATCCAAAGGAAAGGGGGAAAGCACCACAGTGAGTGGCAATGATAGTTAACCAATTTGTTCCCAACCATGTTCCCTTTGTCCCCTAGACGTCCATGCCACCCTTGTCACCTCCCCCAAATCTTTTCCCCAGTTTTCATCCATGTGACCAGTTCTTACAGCCAGCAAGCAGTATAGCAGACTTCAGTAAGGCCTCAATACTGCCCTAGAGGACAGCAAGGACATTCAGCAGGCCCCCTCCCAAATGCAACTGCTGTGGGAGGAGATGGACTCTGGGAGCTGAGCCCTGGCCTTGAGTCTTTCCCTCTCCCACAGCCATTGGTGTTAAAAGAATAAGAAGTAGCTAAAGTGTTTCTTGTTCCCACGGGAGTCACCCAGCTGAATAACTAAGTCTCCACAGCCCTAGGACAAGGCCCCCAGTTTTTCTCCCAGAACTGTTCAAATTAAGGCAACTACTTTCTTGCTTATCTGTAATCTATGTGAAGGGAAATTGGATGGGATTCTTGGCCTTGAAATGGTGCCAGAGGCCATGACTCTGCCATTGAGAATTCGAGATCAAATGCTGGCTATGGAGCCCAAATCTCAAGCACACACCTCAGGAAGCACAGGTATTCCTTAAAATGAATCTGGAGGCAAAACATCTCCTAGGATTGGCCTCTTCCTGGCCTTAGGGTTTCTCATTTCTGTGTCCTGCCAACCCATTTCCTGGAGCACCAGAAACTCAAACAAATTTCTCTTTAGGGAAATATTTCTCAACTTTGGGCTTTGAAGAAAATGGGCACTTGAGAATCTTGATTCTAACCTTTCTAATCAGGAGGGAAGGGCACATGTCCTCCCTAGAGAAACAGCACAGCCTGATGTCCTCCAGCTAGTCAGCCTTCCACAACAAGGCCCAATCAATGTGAATCCACTCTGCTGTCACTGGAACCAGAGGTATCTTCTTAATGGCTTTTTGGCCTCTATCACATTCTGTCAAGAAGAAATCACCTCTCTGTCCCAACTATTCTCTTATACTATTTGACAACAACCCCAGCAAATGCTCACATTCCTTATCACTGATGCTAATCCCACAGTCAGAAGGATTTCTTTAGGCTACCAACCTAGCAACTCCCTTCACCATCCTTCTAGTGTAGGGCTATAAACTACACAGTGCCATGCACAATACCCTTAGGAGACGAATACACAACAGATGTCTAACAACATACAACACATTTTGCTAAATCCAACCC